AAGAGTCTGACATATTCAGAGGCAGATGCTCACAACTAGCCATTGAACTGATCATGGGTTTCTCAATAGAGGAGTTAGAGTGAAGACTGAAGGAGCTGAAAGGATTTTTGGCACCATGAGGAGAACAATAATACCAACCAACCACAGCTCCCAGGGTCTAAACCACCAGCCTGGGAGCACTTGGGGGGGGGATCCAGGGCTTCAACTGAATATGTAAGAGTGGAGGGCCCTGCTGGGCATAGGTGGAAGAAGAGAACCTTGACCTCATGAAGGCTGGATGCCCCAGGGGGTGGGAATTTTGAGGGTGGGGAGGTGGGAGTGGGGGGGGAGTAGATAGAGGTTACATCCACAGAGAAGAAGGAGGAGGGGTGAGGGGATTGGGGGTTCTGGGGTGGGTGGGGGATGGGGTAAGGGGACAACATAGGAAATGTAAATAAAACATCCAATTAAAAAAAAAAGTCATCCTTTGACAGAGTTTTTATTTGTCTTCTAACAGCTTGGCATAACCTATCACCCTGAAAATAAGTTTGTGTGTGTGTGTGTGTGTGTATGTGTGTGTGTGCGCACACACACGCTTTGGTGAAGATTCATTCGAGACACTATCATAACCTGCCAGGTTACTTGAATTTTATAAACAAGAACACCTTACAGTAACTGCTTTTACATCTTGCTCTGTATAGACTAACAAATATGCAAAAACATCTTAGAATGTATGAGATCAGCTCTGTTTCTGTGGTTGTAATGTAAATAGGAAGCAACCAATGTGGGCACTTGCAAAGAATGTAGACTTTGTCAACTCTGGATGAATATATAGCTCAGGCTCAGAAATCATATATTCTTGAAGGACACATTCCAACAACACATTCAGGAACACACCGGTGTATAAAGTCACACACACACATGAAAGAAGTCATACACACTCACATGCACACACACACACACTTACATACAAAGAGAGCACAATAAAATTTTAAAAAGTAAAACTTCTGATATTTTGTTGAATATCTGAAAACTTCTGTATAATTTTAAAACAACAAAGAATTATAGAAAACTACACACGAGATAGAGAAATAATTCACATAGGATCTTAGTTGACATTATTTTAAAATATTGTGTTCTCAGAGCATTTCAAATATAAATAAGATATAACTAATGATTGCAAAGATGTGTGCATTTCTTCCTGATAGTGATTTTGCTTTTAAAACAAACACATTTCAAGACATAGAGTCTTTTTAAACAAAATAGTCCTGAAATTAATGTTTTTAAAGCATAAAAAAAGAAAAGAAAACTGGGAATTTTTTTGTACGTCTCAAAATATTTCTTGACTCATGATGAACGAGGGGTATGTAAGTAATTCTCAGAAGAGAAGATCAACCTTATAATAGGTAACATATTCCTACTATGAGAATAATAAATTTCTAATAATATTTCAATATTACATAAAATAGGTTTAATGTAGAAATAGTGAACTATACCCTCAGATAGATTTGACTATCTTAAACATTGGCTCATGAGGACAGTGCAGTTATGAGTTATTCCTACAATATTAAGTCAAAAGTAAATATTTTCTATATTTGTTTTTGAAGTCAATAATAAAAGAAGACGTGTAACTTAGGGAGAGGTTTGGGGATATCTTGGGATTCATGTAGGTAATTTGGCAGTGGATTTCTGTACTGATATGAAATTATAAATAAAAAGGATTCTAAAATCATCTATATCTATATATTTTAAAATACAAACAGAAGCTGAGGGATCTATGTTCAATCCTAAGAATAAGAAAAAAGGGAAAACTGGGAGGAAAAGAAATCCTTTAAGTAAGAATAGCAAAAACTTTTTCCTAATTCATCTATAGAAAAGATGCAGGTTTATCTTAAGTATACTGAAATACATGGATGATTCAAAGAAGTCTCAAACCAAAAAGACCAAACTGTAAACATAAAATCAAAGAAAACCAGCAAAATCTTCACACATACAGAAAAGATTATTGCTGAATACTCACTAGAGAACACTGAGAAAGAAAAGGTGATGGAGAACCTTTATTTAAATTAGAAGAAAGTATTTATGTTCTAAAAACATCTATTCAAGTACAAAAGGAAAATACACATATCATTACATGCAGCAGAGCTAAAAAGTATCTATTGCCAATCTTCTGAACTACACAAAAGATCTGCAATAATTATGGCAGGATAAAATATTAAACCAATAGAGTCATGGGTGAACATCAGTAAAAATGATGACTTTAAAGGACTTGGATCTAAGTCACAATGGTATTGAAAGACATCACTGAGATTGCATGTATACAATACTGAGCATTTGCCATAGCTGAAATTAAGGAGCAGAGGTAAAAGAATATTTCTCTACAGGACTATCTGTTCTGCTCGTCTCTGTCCTGAGGACATATCTGTTTCAGCCAAGCTAGCGAGTGTTCTCCTAATTTATGTCACTAGTTAGAAATTACCTTTATACTACATATTTCTCTTGAATTACTGTTTTGTATAAACTAGAATGTATGAAGATCAAATTGCATGATGATCATTATACACACCTTGGGAAGGTTAGAGCAATTTCAACAGTAACATTTTAGAATACTGCTTCTAAATACATTTTATATCCATTAGCCTTTATAAAAGTCAGAGAGATAGTGATCATCTGAGCTACATTCTATTCTGCTTTATAGTAGAAATGGTCTTCAATGCTCTGCATGCTACAAAACAGTTAAGATTCTGATCTGCACTAAACCAGATGATGAAAATTAAACAATAGTATAAGCATTAGAAAAATAGACAATTATATAATTGGGTATAACTCAATGATATGGGTATAACTCAATGATAAAACAAGTATGTAGTATGTGAGAGGTCATGAGTTTTATCCTATGCACTGTACACATATATGACCATACACACACACAAACACACACACACGCAAACATCAATGCTAAGTTAATAAAAATGGTTTCTAAACAGAAGTTACATGAAAAGATATCCCTATGCCTAGAACATTCAAATAAATATGAGGATAAAGAAACATGACTATGTAGTTGGCCTTCCTTAGCTGGTATGAGGATGCACAGTAAGAGACATACTGAAAGAGCAGAGGACAGAGATAAAATGTTATGAAACATGTGGATGTGGAGAGCAAATTAACTCTTTATAATATTTTGCTTCAAGATTTACTTGTGATTAACATAATAACAAATATTTTTCATTAGACAGAAATATTTTACAATAATAGTTGAACAGCACATATCAATATATAATCAATAAGCAAGAAGGGGAAAAAGCAGTTCAATTCTAATAATAATACTTGATTTGGAAATGAATGGTGTTGCAACTACTTGAATAATTTTCAGTAATTTTTTTTGAGTTTTTTTTTCCAAATCGTAATTTTTACTTATTCACACAGGGGTTATAAGCACAAAAAGACAGGACGTGGAGAAGGGGATGACACTGGAGTGTGGGTTTTCAAGGGGAATACAAATATCTTTCATAACAGGTTATCAGCTGGGTGGAGGTTCAGGGGACAGGTCTCTATGACTCTGCCTATGATTCACTTGTCCTTATCTAAGTTGGTATTATCTGCCAAGGCTACCTATTTACAAGGTCTACGACTACTCAGGCTGGTAAATTTCCACGAAAGCTGCCTGTTTACAATAGCTTATAGCCATCTGTTACAGTGTTTTCCCACAGAGACCCAAGACTTGGTGCTAGTATACATGTATGACAGACCTTTTGCTGATTTTAGGCCTATGGCTGATTTTAGGCCTTCAGTGTATAACCAGGGCTGCACCAACATCTCCTCCCTTCTCTAAGTATAGAAGGGCTGTGACAATTCTAATCTTGTGAAGGCAGAGATAAAGGTCTGACCTCCAGTAATTGAAGGGGACATTTCCTCATTTTTGTTATTTTAGCATGAGAAACAATCTTGCTTCATATTGCTTTGTATAAAATACATATAAAAGATACATGTGTGTATGACATACACATATAGCTTTTCCATATCTGTGAATTCTTTCTATCTCTCCCCTCAACCCCCTTCTTAGGTCTCCATCTTCCATTACTCTACAAATTGCCTGTCTCTCTACTAGTTATGAACTTGAAATATCAGTTTTGGTTTTGTATTCACATACACTGTCACAGCTTTGGATGTCCTCAGTGAATATCTGCAGTGAGAAATTTTTCTTCATACCCTTCTTGGCTTCATTAATAGATCTGCTCAAATGCAATAAAGAGATACAATATAGTAAAATTCAATTGCTAGTAGCTTATTTTAAGCTAATCACTGTTAATATTTTATAAGTACCATCTTAGTGTTAAATACAAGACAACCAGTTCAGCAATATCCATTATTGGATTTGGGACTATTCTAAAATGTTTCAGAAACAAAGGCATGGTCACATTGATCTAGGAAGCACAGCCAGTCCTCAGAACTTTTTGTTTGCAAGGTGTGTTTTCAACATGAATACATCTGGAATGAACTACAATGCAGAAATGGAAGGCACACCTGTGATCCAGATCTTGAGACTGGAAATCACAGGCTTCTGACTTGGACCTTGATGTGGAGATCTTGAGGCATAGTGGCCATGGAAAGCTTAGGCCCAGGCACGATAGGACCCACCCACCATTAATCCCTAGAAACTGAGGAAAATAGATCTCTGAGTTAAAAGTCAGCCTTGGACAAAGCAAGGTCCAGATCTAGGTGTGGTGGTACACACCTTTAATCTGAGCCACACCATATGAGGGGGCCTACATAAGGAAATTGAAAAAAGACTCACTTTTCTTTGCCTGCTTGCACTTACTGCCAGAACATCTGTTGATATCTACTTCTTCAGGGTTCCAATTTATACAGAAGACCAGGTGAAATAAACAAGCCTCATGGACTGAACAACTACTAGATTTTTTGACTTCCCATTCACAGCTGCCCACTGTTTTATTTGTGGGACTACAGACTGTAAGTCATTACAGTAAATTCCCTTACTATATAGAGGCAGTCCATAAGTTCTGTGGCTCTAGAGAAAGTTCTGTGACTAATACACAAGGAAAAGGCAAAAATCTGCTTGACCTCACAGGAGTAAGTAGCAGATGGTTTGAATGGACATGATAGAGTAACATCTAAGGAGTAGAATTTAAAGTAAGACTGAAGAGTACTGTTTACTCCAATATAAAAAGGAGACAATGAATGCAGAACTTCCTCAAAAATAAATGAAACATGCAATAGACAGGAGAATCTAAAGCAGTATCAAGTGACCATCTAATGAACAACATATTTGAAGACAGTCTACCAAATACATCTTCAAGAAAGAAATGAAGCACAGACTGCAATTCCCATATCAAGAAGGAATTAAAGTATAATCACAAGTAAAATACCTTTTGAGAAAATGATACCACTGATCTTTCTGTTCTTTTGAACTGTAATGTTAAAAGTGAAAAACAGGATTAGAGTTTCATATTGCTAAGACTTTTAAGATTATTGCTCATAAAAATTATGATAAACGGGGGCTGGAGAGATGGCTCAGTGGTTAAGAGCACTGACTGCACTTCCAGAGGTCCTGAGTTCAAATCCCAGCAACCACATGGTGGCTCACAACCATCTGTAATGAGATCTGATGCCCTTTTCTGGTGTATCTGAAGACAGCTACAGTGTATTCATATATAATAAATAAATAAATCTTTAAAAAAAAAATTATGATAAACAATGGGCATCCTGAGAGTGTAGGTGTAGATGGTATTCTCCACATGACGGCCCTTCTGAATGACATAATTCACTGGAACACTTGTATGACAGGAAGTTGAGTATAGTGCGGAAACCAGTTGGGAATGTCAAGACTCGACTATGTTCCAAGAACTGTTTAACTATGGCTGGACCAACAATTACTCTTCATTTCAGTTCTTATATATATAAAAGAATAGTTAAGACGATGTCCTCTTAGCATGGGTTCAAGTTAATACAGGAGGTATCATTATTCAAACTAAACTACAGGTAAGGTATATGACCTTTGGTTAGAAAGCACTTAACCCAGGGCAAACAGCATTTAAGAAAAAAATAAATTTTTATTTCCTTGTGTGAATTACAGAATTGCCATACAAGACAGGGTATCCTAGATACTACTGCTTCATTTCTGTGAGTCCTCACATTAACTCTCCTGGTACAAATTAATTATACGCCCACCACTACTCCACTATAGCATGTATCAGTCTAATGTAAACGGGTAAAGAAGAATTCACAATGCTAACATTTTATAACTGCAAACTTTATGTTGAATGAGTTAGGCCTCATTGATATTTAACACAGTCAGTGTCTTATAGTCATCAACATTATCTTGTTAATCTGCGTTTTTCTTATCCAAACCACAACCCTTACCCAAAGCACTATTCCTCTTCCCCATGCTCACAACCCTTTGTCAGGTAGTGTTTTTCATTCTGTAAGCTAATGTGTACATTGTTTCTTCTTTCTGAAAATAATTTTCCATGCTGAAAAGAACTTTCATTCACAGAATATTCTACTCCTTTTGGCCATGGTTGTAACATCCAGAACTCAACCTGAATACTCATATTGATATTCCCTGTAACTTCCTGTGGAACTATGGACTGATTCTGACCCAAAGACTGACACATTCATGTTTCTACTATTAACTGCCCACCCACTGTATAGTCTGCCTACAACCATTTTTATCAGAAGGGTGGATTATACCTGTGCCCCTCATCCTACACTCTCTCTGTCTCACTCTCTGTCTCTGTCTCTCTGTCTCTCTCTCCCTCTCTGTCTCTCTCTGCCTCTCTCTGTCTCTGTCTCTGTCTCTCTCTCTCTCTCTCTCTCTCTCTCTATATATATATATATATATATATATATATATATATATATATGTCTCACTCAAATCTAATATCATTAAAATAAAAAGTGACATGGCAGGAAAACTCATAAGTAGGTACTTGGTAATATGTAGGTGGTAGTTCTGATTCTTTGATCAGGATCTGCATGTGAACACTGAAGGTCCTGTTCACATGCAATTGAGTTGATTGATCAGTAAAAATGATAATGGCCAATTTGCTGGGTGGAATAGTCAAGAATTTTACCACAGGAAGGCTAGCAGATGCAGGGGAGGAGAAAAAGATATACCATGCTACAGAGAGTGAAAGAATCACCAACCTTGTGAGCTCTAAGGCAAATTGGCCATTAGCTCCTTTCTCAACTTGCCTGTGGTTGCAGAGGGATTATTAGAAATAGAATTATACTGAGGGTAGATTTAGGGGGATGAGCTAGGACTATGGTGACTGAGCAAACAAAGTTGAGGAGAGATTCAGAGGTGTTGAGCTGGGAGTGAAAAGAAGGGCATGATAGCTGAGGAAGACTTTGAAGAGCCAGACCACTGAGCTAAAGAATATCAAAATAAGCTAATGTGTGTGTTTCTATCATCTACCATTCCAATGGAACCTTATCCCTTGACCTTTATCCTCATCAGTTAACCATTAGAAACCAATGATACTCTACTACATAGATATTCAAATATTTGAGTATTCTATGAGTAACTATTTTTAGTTCAGTTCAATGAAATACTATGTTTTATGAAAATTAACTCGGGTGTATGGGAGGTATAGGTCAAATTTAATTACACTATACAATATTATTGGAGAAAAATCAATCTGTGTTTTTTCAAAACCTAGATAATACCAGAAATCATAGGGGAAAGAATGTGAAGGATATGGCAAGTCCTTGGTTTATCCACATCCTTTGTAGAAGACAGTGTACCTCCATTCTGCCCTAAGAAACTTTTCGAGTCCTGGTGAACATCACAGATCAAAAACTAAGGAAGATACTTACACAAGAAATGTATATTGTAGAAAGTAGAAACAAACTAGAATCATCATAGAAGGGGAAAATTTGAGTTGGCAATCTATGTACAATCAGATTAAAATGCATTCTTATACCACAAACATTCTGCTTAATTGGTGAGTTATGAAGCATTAAGTTGCCCCACAATTTCTATAATAATCCTCTTGTGAATACAGGTCCAAACTGTAGGTCTTACCGAAAGGTGGCCAAAAAGTTTCCGGTGGGCCAATACAAGAAAAGGGTCTTACAAGGACAGATTTCGTCTATGCTGAGGTCCTCATCATCCATGGCCCATAGGTAATGCAGTAGAATAATACATTTTATCTTAAACTTTTTCTTATTCCTAGAAAGAAAATCAAGTATCTGTGTTAGTTTGATTTGCATTGTAGTTGCAGTTGCTTGTAGAAATACCCAGTTCTTCCTGCCCGAGAGCAGAGGGGGACTCCTCCAATTTATCACTCAGGCACAATTCAAGCCATGGTAGATGGAATTCAAGAAAGCATATGTTGAAAGAAATTACTGGATACAAGCTTCTCAATGCATATAAATAGACATAGCCTGATAGTTTTCTGATTAGAGAATGTTTAAAATGACTATAATATAAATATAGGTATGTGTGTGTGCAAATGCAAATATATATATATATATAGCATTTTATAAAACCATATGTTTCAAAATTTCTTCTATTAATTTTGTTAATTAGTAACCATGTTGCTTTATTTCCATAATTCCCATACCAAAAATATTAGTTACAATTTTGTATTTTAAATAATTGCATTTAATAATCTTTCTAAAGTAAATATAGAAATATTGTATGAATCAATACATTCATTTTCCACTGTCCTTCTGTATACTAGGAATTTATGTCAGCTCAATACAATGGCTCATTTAGTAAAAGTACAAAGCTTATGTCATACAAGAATCCAAAGAGATTATTACTTTTCCAATAATTTAAACAAATAATAATAGACATGTTCCTATCAAGCATTCTAATCTTATCAAAAGTATTTGTAATAAACATTAATCTTAGAAGCATAAATTTTCTTCTGTCATCAGTCCTTTTATATGGAGTTTGTCTTTGAGAATTTCACACACATATACAATGTGTTCTCATTATTTTTTTGACACTCCCTCCTTTTTCTATATTTTGACAAAATCCTTCTTAGATTCATGACTTCCATTTTTTATAATAGACTGAATATTACATCAGTGTGTGTGTGTGTATGTGTGTGTGTGTGTGTGTGTCTGTGTCTGTGTCTATGTGGGTATGTGTGTGGGTGTGTATGTGGGTGTGAACTTGGGTATGTAACTCTACCTTGAACAATGTTAAGCTAATGTGTTGGTCTAAAACTGAAGATACTGACTCTGCCTCTCTCAGATTCAGTAGAAAATATGATTCAAGTATAAACCATGATCCAAAGATTCTATATGTAAGTGTTTTTAAACTTCAAAAAGTATGACCTTTGAAACATGTTACCACAGAGAAAGATTTCCCACACTATCTGATGTAACAGTCAAAATACAAGCCTATTATGTATTATCTACTAAAGTATACACATGAATACTCACATACAAACATACAAACATTTGTCTCAATCATATGAAACATTTGTATTTATACTTTATTTCCACCTCAGGACATCTAATTATATACATTCATGTATGTATGCATAAATATATATGCATACATATGAACCAAAATTCAAAAGAAATGCATAAACCTAAAACCTATAATTCCAATATGTCTGATAAGAGATAAGCATCCTTGAAAATGGAAATAATAGCAATCATATCCTATGAGAATAATAATTCTCTTTCCATAGCATGAATGACAATCTCAAAATAGTTTTAGTTACTACCACTACACAGCAGAAGTGAAACAAATATATTGTCCATCCTTCTTGTCTTGTCTACTCAACTCACCTTCAGTCCACATTTGGAAATACATTTTTTAGAAAGAGTAAACAACTCATTTGAATTAAACATATGTATATACTGTTTGCATGCCTTTTAAGTGTAGTTGGTAGAAGTAAGTGAAATTCACTTTGATTTTTGAGAGTAAAGGAAACTAAAATTGATAGACAGCCAGGCCATTCACTCATTTTGAGCCTGCATCAGTCAGAGAGTAACTAACATTTTCTATGCTGGGAGTTTACAGAGACTGATCAGGGTTGAAAGCCAAGTTTACACCATTGGTTGTATCTATGATATATAGAAAAATTCTCTTCTGAATATTTAATTTTCTCAAAGCTTCGAAGTGGATCTACAGGAATATTATTAAAGGGTGACCATAAAGTTTATCTCCTAAAACTGAATGAACTATATTGTTGATGGTTGTCCTCCAAACCATTTATGAACTGATGAGAATATACCTTAATTTATTTACTTGATAATGGCAATACCAACATCATATCTTCTAGCATAATTTGAAGGCTATAATCATGGCCACTGGAGATTATATGTGATGTGGTCCCAGAAAACCCCTCCATGGTTGTAAGTTGTAATGCAACTTCATTTAATCACAGCGGTTTCCTCTAATTTCTGCAGAATCACCAACTGGGAACTAACTTCTCGGCATCTGCAGTTTCTCCTGATTAGTAGCTGATATTAGTAGGGACAGTAGCTGCTTCTTGTCTCTTCAAACTAATTTGGAAACTATGGGGTTAAGAGGCTTACAAGTTTTGCCACTTGCGTGCTAGGATCATAATCAGAGATTCCCCCCCTCTTGCATTTAGAGGCTATCTGGAAACAACAAGCAAGAGAGCACCTACTTCTCATATTTTACATATATTATTTTGAGAACATGTCACACTGTATAGTCCACATATCCCACAAAGTTTCAATAATCATAGGACATCTTTAACAATGTTCAAATTACTGGCATATGCTTGTACATCTGCCTCCTTTTCAAGTTTATTGTTATTCTTTCCCCAGATTCAAATAGCAGGATAGCACCTTAAATAAATCATTTTTTAAAATGTGTCTAAGACTTGTGCCAAAGTAAATTGAGAAACACATAGGGGAATGTCTACCAAACCCAACACTGGTAGAAGAAAAAGAAGTTTTGATAATTAAGTAATGAAGTAAGTATAATCCTTTTAAAAAGAAGTAAAATAAAAACATATTTTTGTTGTTCAAAAAGGCCTAATTAAGCAGTACCCTCTCATCATAAGGAAGGCATGTTGCACATACTCACAGGTTACTGGATACAACCAAAACATCATTAAATAAGGATAGGTGTCTTTTCTTCCTTTTTCTGCCACTTGTGATTTGCACGGGGCCTTGGCACAGCAAGGTCCGATGTATTTCTCCCATGTCTTCTGTCACAAGGGTTTCCATATAGAAAAAAATAAGAATACTCCTGGTACAGTTTTCTCCACCTAACAGAACAATATTCATTGTGTAAGTAATAAGACCAATGTTTGTACTAAATTTTAAAGGGTTCATGATATTAAAACACAGTAAATAAAGTTGAAAGAGAAGATCTGAGGAATATTATAACAACAGTTATAGTAATAACAGTTAAAGTATGGTATTCATGTATGAAATTCAAAGATAAAAATGTGATATTAAAAGATAATTGTAACTCTTAACATAAATGATATGCTAATGGGATAGTAAGAAATTAAAAATTAACCACAATTAAACATTTTAGGCTGCATTTTTATACATGTGAACACCCTGGCCTTTCCTATATTGGTCTATATGTCTGTTTCCTTTGAAATTTATGTTTAATATGATTGTCCCTTCCCCAAACTGTCATGAATGGTAAAAACTTAGAAATAAGCAGCTGCTATATGTTGTCTTCTGAATGTATAATTGGATTAATCTAAACCACTCAACCCAAAATCTCTGCTTTTGTGATCTTGATTTTCAGTCAAGCTTACAAAACTGTTATAATAAACTAGGTCTCTGTCAATCAGAAAAACAAACAAACAAGCAAACAAACAAACCCTCTATCATTCAAAAAATATTTGTGAATTTGGTCTTGTCCAGAAAAGGGGGTCATTTCTTTTGCCTCTAGTCTGTTGTTCCTAAAACAATATAATATATCTTTTAAAGAATATGTGGAGAGACACCAGCTTTTATGTAGAAAGCATTTAAGACCCATGAGATTTGAGGAGTCAGGAGGAACAGCAGCCAATGGTCATCATTAAACAATAATGTAAAGAATTTTTGCAAAATAATACCAACTCAGGTTCATTATATTCAAAATTACAAGTAAGTGAGTGTGTTTAGAAAGTGATATCTTTTTATCAGAATGAACATTAAAATATTGAGAACTTTTTTAAAAATAATCACAACATATGTAGAGAAAAAATAATTTGCTGAAAACCAGAGTTCATAGATTTTAGGTTGAAGCCTGGCCAGTTTACAACAAAAGTTTGTGTTGTTAGTGGGCAAATTAGATAGTCTAGAAAATAATCTTCTCTCATGTTCAGGATTGGTATTTTTTGAAGACTTATAGAAAGTGTTCTCCTGGAATCTCAGAGCATACATCTTATGTGATAACTTTTTTCTTTAGGGCATTGGTACTGAATATCACTAATGAGTAACTTTTCAGGAAGCCACTGCCAAGTTAAAAGCTAGTTTATAAGGATCTGGGAGTAAACACTTCCTGATTCCATTAGATTATCATAAGAATCAATTTCGTTATTATAGATATACCTTTACTGTGGAGCCTGGCAGTGAGAACCAATCAATGGACGTGAAATTTTCATTTGTCTTCTAGCCACTGAAAGTCAAACTGAAGACTGCAGTTGGTAAACCAACTACTGAATTCTCAGGGTTCTTTGGTAGTCAGGGTGACAGGCCATTGTGATGTCAAGATTCAAAGGCTCATGCTATAACTGACAAAGTGTAAAGTGCATTTTAAGCCCTTCAATCTTTTGCTTTAAAGATGTATTCTTTTAACAATTGTTTATTTTCAAAATTAAAGGTAAGTGAGCATGTTTTAGAAAGTGAAGATAGATGATAGATAGATAGATAGATAGATAGATAGATAGATAGATGGATGATAGATATATGTCAATAAGAATACCTATTCAAGAAAAAGAAGAATGTTTTACAAAACATTGTGAAATGAATATTAATTCCAAAATGTTCTCAATACCTTTTTTTCACCTATCAAGGTATAGACGAAAATGCAACTTCATTAATACTGTGAACCTTAGAAACCAACATGCAAAAATCATAGGGGGCTTTAAAAATAAATGTACTTTACTGAATAAAGTCAGAAAGCTTCATCCTCAGGGAGATCAGACAGCATTGAAGATTTGTATATTATT